TGAGTATAAAATAATTATCATCAAAAATATAAATGATATTTAAACTTTATTATAAATAAAATAATATAGTATATTTTATAAATTTTAGTATAAATAAATATAGTATATTTTATTATTATTATATATATATGATTAACAGTTTATATATAATTAATTATAATATATATATGATATCAATATGTTGATGTTTTTTCATTTTTTGCGATTATATATATTTAATATAAAATATAGTGATGCAATTTATCATTGCAGTGAGATAAGATAAAAACATATGTGAAAATATTTTTTATTTTTAAATTACTTATGTATTTTTTTAATGCTGTTTTTATTTAGATCATTGTTTTATAATTAAAGAATACAGATAATTTAAAGTTAATATACGATATTTTGCATGTCTATTCTATATTATTACGAATATAGAATAATATAAAAATACTAATAATAATTTGTTTTATTTCCTTATTATATTTATTTCAGCATACTTATTTTCTTAGTATAAAAAATTTTCCTTATAATAATTACTATTGCAATCCTCATCAATTATTAGAAATATTTTTACAAACTATTTAATATAGTTTTTAGCTGTATTATTTTATTCATTTCATACTGAAATAGAATTTGTTGAAATAGATTGTATTTTACAAATCAGTAAGATTTAATCACAAATTGTGTTTCCGGTTTCCGACTTACATAATTGATGTTGTGACTGATAGATGTCACTACGATCCTATTCTTTTCTTCACTACTCGCAATAATAATAACAAATATATGTATATGTTTATGTATATAATTTGTCGAAGAAGTATTAATATTATATGTCATATATTATGTTATATATCCATATTAATTTTTTGAGAGAACAAAACAATTTCGTTTCGCTTTATTATAACAAAGATTAATATATTTATATAAATTTAGATTCGAGCTCTTCAAACCTCAATCCCTCTGATGTAATCATTTTCGATGAATTTTTTCAAGAGGAAAATACATGATTATATTATTATTATTTTCTTACTGCTATTATTAGATTAGACAGAAGCATTTCACGTTTGACAATCGTCAAACTTCAAATGTATTCTTCTCATGCAGAAATTTGTAAGGGAAGAATTAAACTATGTTTAATAATAATCAAAATAGTATATGATTCGTATTTGGTAAATCTATATATATTTCATATTGATGAAAATCTTCGTTGCTTATTTAATATTTTTTATATATTTCTATTATGATAAAATTTTGTTAAATTTCGACATTTTATTGTAGAAATAAATAATAGAAATAAATTTCTTATAAATAATTAATTATAAATATATATACAAAATATTTTTAACTAAAATTAAACATACTTATGTCTAATATGAATGTAAAAAATAAGATAAAAAAAAGAAATTTCTTTTATCTAACCCTCTTTTTTTAACCCCCCTATTGGATGCTGGCACCTGGACTAGAAATCGTTCACCCTTCCAATTTTTACTTGCCTTTCCCCTATCCCCATACTCTTGATTTAAGATTTTGCCCCTATAGAATTCGAAAGCTTGTTTTAAATAATAGTAGCATTGGGATTTCAGTCGAAAGAATGAACTATTCTTCAGTTACTATTCGTATGTTGTGCATATTATACGTTTAAACATTTCTGTTTTATAAAAATATTATTTATTTATTATTGAAATTATAAAAATTTGCTTACAAAGTATGTTTTGCTATATAGCATACAATATATTTAAGTGTTTAATACATATACACAAGGAAGATTCATTATTTTTAATAGTTGATAATTTTTTTTTATAATTATCTTACAAAAATCTCAGTAATTCTTAAAAGTAGAATTAAATTCTGGGATAATCTTTTATGCAAAATATTGTGTCATCAATATTGTTTTTATTATATATATATATGAAATCTTTTCCATTATGCAATTTTGAATTCTTGAAATGTTGAAATTCTTGAAAGTTAAGTTAATTATAAAATATTTGATACTTTCCTTTTTAATTTTATCACAATAAATAATATTCAAGAATAATGAATTATAATTAATTCGTTAAAATATTTTTTATTTATAAATAACAAAAAAATTTCTTAAAATTTCGTTATCTTCAAAAAAGTAAAATATGGCGATTTATACGCCATTTTCCTATTCGAATGGTCATTGAGCGTTCTCATAGGAAATCGAAAGTAGGGGTTGGCTGGACAACATATTTCTGAAAATGGATTCGACGAGATATACAGAAGAATTATTCTTACCCTCCTAGTCCGGCAGTTCATTGGCGGGTCACATCAAATGCTGCTTCTAAACGAGGCTATCGATTTTGTCTATTTCTAAATAATCTAACTGTAAAAAATATATAATTATCAAATAATTTATATTTAGTTACAGTTAATAATATTTAAAACTGTATTATTTAATCTATAAATTACTGTCACAATAATATTTTTTCAAAGAATTTAATATATGATATGTTTTAGAGAAGAAACAAGAAATTTAAGAAATATGAATTTATATAGGCATATTATCAGTTTTAAAAATGATTTGCAAAGATGATGTTTGAGCTATAAAATATTATTAAACGAGATTATTTTTTATTTCTTTAGTTTTTAAATAAAGTTAATTTTATTTATTTTATTTTGATTATATTTATTTCTTAACTTTTTTCTCTTTCTCTCTCTAAATATTTGTTATATTTTAATATTAATTATTAATCCAATTGTACATAAAAATAAGAAGCAAATATTATTAAATATAGAATACAATTTTATCTAATTATAATATAATTTTATAATGTAATTTTTGAAAAAATATGCATTAAAAAATGTTTAAAATCAATAAAACGAAATTTTTATGTAACTAAAAATTCTTCGGAATATTTAGAAAAAACTTTTCAAACCATCATATTTTTAACAATTTTACTTTACTTTTTTTTATATTATTGCGTGAATTTCTTGTAATGTAAAAATTTTGTCTATTAATAAAGAATTTTTCAAAAAAGGTAATGGTCATCTCGAAAGAACGCCATTTTGTGTCGAGACGCCTGTGGAAATATAAACCTGTGATACTGATGCGCGTATGTGCTGCGTAGTTGAGGGGCTGGTACGGGGGTGGAAAGACACGTGACAGCAATAGAAGTTCTTCCGGATTGGTTGGTTGATGTTTGATGACGTATAAGCTTGATGTACGTAAGTCTAACCAGAAGATAAAGGAAACTAACTGAGGATAGTCTGATAAATAAATTCACCCACTTATAAATATTTATTAGATAAGAAGAAGAAGATAGATTAAGAAGAAGAAGAAATATAAGAGTAAACCGTAATTGTCTTCTGATGTAGATTTTCCATTCTATTTTAAAACCAATTGATTTTTCTTAAAATCTAATTAAATCTTTCTTAAAATTAATCTTGAGACTAATTTTTAATCAATAAATAAGATTTGATATTTTAAGATTATAATTATAGTTCTTTAAATAAAAATTGGATAGATATTTTTATAATATTTTTATAATTGAACAAATAGAAAGCTATAATTTTTATTTGTAGAATTTCTAGACTTTTTATCTCAAAATATAAGATATTATATTAAATTTCCTTATTTTAAAATGTTGAAATATAAATATAAAATGTTAATAATAATATAAGGATGTGAAAAATATAATGAAACTTTTATTAATATTATAAAATTATTGCTAAAATCAAAGATAGAATAAGAATACAATATTTCAAAATGAATTAATCAAAATTACAAGACAAAAGAATCCTCACTTATAATATTTCTAAAAATATCTATAGTTTAAATTAGTTTCTACAATAATTTGATAATTTACAAAATCTACAAAAGAAGAATATATCAAATATTAATCAATACACTTGTTATCAAAAATTTGTTTGATATTACTGTTAGTATTTCAATTGATCGCATTCGAATCATGTATCTCATTTTACCATCTAGGTTTCAAATAATACACGAGACTTGCATCATCGAATGATCGTCGAACAAATTGACGATAGATTATCGAGAAGTATTGTGGGATTTAAAAAAGTATAAGAGACTTTGTAGTGGGGGTAACGAACCACAGGAGAAAGATCGAGCGTGAGTGTTCCAGCATTCCGTAACGGGCGCTCGTGATCGACGGAAGTGTTGTGCCGGCGTGAAAGAGCTTTCGTTAAAAAAGATCGAAAAAAAACCGAATTAGTCGATCTAGTTCGAAGCAGAATAATCTTATTTCGTGACCAGGAGGTAACGATGTCTATTGTCATCAAAGATCTGTCATCGGGAATCTATGAGAATCATCATACAGCCTTCTAACCTCACA